GGAGCCCCAGGCTCCAACCACTGACATCACCGCACATCCCTGCCCAACACGAAAGGAAAACAGTGCCCAACAGGAAAACAAACCAGAACCACAAAGGGAAAGGAAAACCAACCACAGCCACCACAAGGGCACGGCACAGGCAAAAAACACCGGCTGCAAAACACAGGCCCCGCAGCTGCCCTGCAGCTGACACGGAACCCCAAGCACCCCTCCCCAACACAGCTCACCCCAAAGGCTCTGCCCCAGCTTGCATCCTCCGCTCACCCACCACTACAACCTCCCCACCACCACCACCACTGCCCTCCACAACCACCCCCACCACAACAAACCACTTCCCCACACCAACACACCCGACAGCCCCAACTGGAAACCACGGACGGAAACTCGCTGCAATCAGAAAGCGATGAAGGGAAACACAACACCACACATAAAGCCGCACACCCGGCGACACACCAAGCACACCAACCACCACCACCACCACCAAGCCTCACCAGCCTCCTGCCAACAGCACCCACACGCACTCCATGGCTGCGCTCACAGCCCCACGGCCCCGCCTGGCCACGGCGCCCGACACTTCTGCTCCTGCTCACGCCTCTCACCGCCGCCTCGCCTGCCAACACCTGCTGGACCCACCACCACACCTTCCCCTGGCAACAACTCCAGCTCCTCCACGACATGGCTCCCAACTCCACACACACCTGTCAACTCCACAACCAGCCCTTCTTCCCAGACACCCTCCGCCACACCAACCTCAACCCGCAGCAAGCCGCCGCCGCCGCCCTCCGCATCCTCCACCACCTCTTCCACACCCTCAGCACCAACAGCACCTCCCAGCACTGGCACACCCAGCCACGCCAACGCCTCCTCAACCAGCTCCACCACTACATCCACCGCCTCCAGCGCTGCCGCCCCGACAGCGCACGCCTCTTCAAAGGACCCCGCAACCCCCTCACCACCATCAACAAGTACTTCAGCGACATCCACCTCTTCCTCCACGCCTACAACCACAGCGCCTGCGCCTGGGAGCACGTCCGCCTCGAAGCTCTCACCTGCTTCCAACACCTCGACGTGCTCCTACGCCGAATGAAGCATCAAGGTGCTGGGGACCTCACTAAACCCACCGACAGCCAACACCCATCCCCAGACAGCGCCAGTGCCCACAGATGGAGAGATGGCAGCAGCAGCAGCCCAGGATGGGATCGCTCGGCTCCGCTCACGCCACCTCCAGCCACAATGCTGAGCTGACAGGCAAATGGCTATGACCGTGGCGACACTGCGGCCAGGCTGTGGCACAGCCCACACACCCAAACCATGGCCACTGCAAAGGAAGGGGGAGGAACTTTCTGTGCTGCACACTAATGGACAGCTGGGAGGCACTGGGCATAGGCACGCTACTGACTATCCATGGAATTTCAAGTCCATCCAACCGATGATGGGGTACGGGACCATGGACACTTTGGGGGATATCCATGCCAATCACTATTTATCACAGAACCGGGCTTTATTTATTTAATTGATTTAATTATTATTTATTTATTTGGATAGCCATTAACTTATTTATTCACTCCTTGGTTGGAAATAAAGACTTTTTGTAAAAACACAAGGAAAAAGCCAACCTGTGGTCATCATAGAATCATAGAATAGATTGGGTTGGAAAAGACCTCCAAGATCATCAAGTCCAACCCCTGATCCAACTCTAATTACTATATCATGGCACTAAGGGCCATGTCCAATCTCTTTTTAAAAACCTCCAGGGATGGTGATTCCACCACCTCTCTGGGCAGGCCGTTCCAATGCCTGATCACCCTCTCTGTAAAGAATTTCTTCCTAACATCTAACCTAAACTTCCCCTGGCAGAGCTTGAGCCCATGTCCCCTTGCCCTGTTGTTGGTTGCCTGGGAGAAGAGACCAACCCCCACCTGGTTATAACTTCCCTTCAGTTAGTTGAAAAGAGTGATGAGGTCACCTCTAAGCCTTCTCTTCTCTAGACTAAACAACCCCAGCTCCCTCAGCCTCTCCTCATAGGACTTGTGCTCAAGTCCTTTCACCAGCCTGGTTGCTCCAGTACCTCAATATCCTTCCTGAACTGAGGGGCTCAGAGCTGAACACAATACCCCAGGTGTGGCCTCACCAGTGCTGAGTACAGGGGAAGGATCACTTCCCTGCTCCTGCTGGCCACACTGTTCTTCATGCAGGCCAGGATGCCATTGGCCTTCTTGCCCACCTGGGCACACTGTTGGCTCATCTTCTGCCTCCTGTCAATCAGCACCCCCAGATCCCTTTCCACCTGGCTGCTCTCCAGCCACTCTGTGCCCAGCCTGTAGCGCTGCAGGGGGTATTGGGGCCAAAGTGCAGGACTAAGAACTTGGCCTTGTTGAACTTCATCCCACTGGAATCAGCCCAACTTTTCAGCCTACCCACATCCCTCTGCTGAGCCCTCCTGCCCTCCTGCAGGTCAACACTCCCTCCCAACTTGGTGTTGTCTGCAAATTTGCTAATGGTGGACTCAATCCCCTCAGCTAAATCATCCATAAAGATGTTAAACAGGACTGGGCTCAGCACTGATCCCTGGGGGACACCACTGGTGACCGGCTGCCAGCTGGATCAGCCCCGTTCACCAGCACTCTCTGGGCCCGGCCCTCCAGCCAGTTCTTAACCCGGCACAGGGTACCCCTGTCCAAGCCATGGGCTGCAGCTTTTCCAGGAGTATATTATGGGAGACACTGTCAAAGGCTTTGCTGAAGTCCACATAGACACATCCACAGCCTTCCCTTCATCCACCAGGCGGGTCACCTGATCATAAAAGGAGATCGGGTTGGTCAGACAGGACCTGCCCCTCCTAAACCCGTGCTGCCTGGCTCTGATCCCTTGTCCATCCTGTAGGTGCCGTGTCACTGCACTCAGGATGATCTGCTCCATAACCTTGCCAGGCACTGAGGCCAGGTCGACAGGCCTGGAGTTTCCCGGCTCCTCCTTCCAGCTCTTTTTAAAGATGGGCTTGACATTCGAAATCTTCCAATCGTCTGGGACCTTCCCAGAGAGACAGGACTGTTGGTAAATGATGGAGTAAATGATTGGTAAATGTCGTGGTTTTGCCCACCAGCCCATCCCTGGGGCTTAGGATGGTTTTGTCCAAGTGATTTCTGGACAAAAAAAAACAATCAAAAAGTTCAGTGACGCCTTTGCTAATTACATCTTTAAGAAAACAGAAGAGAAAGGTTGGTTGCGCAGTTGAAATTAAGCAGCCATGTAGGAAAGGTGGCGGTGGGCCCTGAAGTGGGCCAAGGCCTCCTCCTCCCCCAGCCCTGGGCCGGGCCGGGGTGGGAGGGGGGCAGGTGCAGCACTGAAGCCTCCCTTCTCTCTTGTGAGAGAGTGAAGAAAAAAAAAGGTTTAAAAGATGAACTGCTTAGACGAGAAACCGCTTCAGAAGAATTCCAGCCATGAGATAACAGAACGTCCAAGGTCAAAGTTGGCAGTTGCAGGAGAAAGAAGAAAAGTTCGAAGGGGGGAGAGCTGCTTTTTCTCCCTTTCGCTCTCCCTCCCTTCAGCAGGGTAAAGACTGAAAAATAAAACCCTGCCACTTGTAAAAGTTTGTTGGGGTGAAGAGACCTCCATGCGGCTCACAGAGGAGCTTGTGGATGTACCAGAGATTTGTGACTTTGACAGAAAGAGAAAAAGCCTTATGCTGGAGCAGAAGTGGCTCGGATGAGACAGAAGTCCTGTTGAAGACTTTGTGACCCTTGAAGGGGATGATGCTTATGCCGGAGCGAGACGGCTTGGATAAGCTTGGGATCTCAGTGAGAGATCCATGCTGCTGGTACTGGAGATTTGTGACCCTGAGAGAACCTATGCTGGAGCAGAAAAACGGCTCGGGTAGGGATGTTGAAGATTTATGACCCTGAGGGGCATGAGGACCCACGCTGGAGCAGAAGACAGCTCAGGTGGGATATTGGGATCCGAGTAAGGGATCCAGACTAGACCCATGCCGAGAAGTCAATCAAGGACTGTTCTCCCATGGGGAGGGACCTCCATAGGGAAACAGGGGTGAACTCTTAAACCATTATCCCCTGTAACCCTGTGGAAGAAGATCCATAGTAAGCAAGTGTCCCCTTGCAAGCCTATGGAAGGAAACCCTTCAGGACCTGAGTAACCCCCAGCCTTCGGTTTTAACCAAGGAGGGGGGTAGGCCCAGCCCTGGAGGCCAACACAGAATGAGAAACAGAAAAAGTTCCAGCTGCGACGAGAGTGCTGCAAAGTTATTGAAGAGAAAAAGAGAACTGGAATTCCAAGAATGGAAAAGGACTGCTTCTTCTCCTTAGATTGATATAAAGGGAGGTGCGGGGAGAAGTATCTTCTGTAAATACATAATACCTTTTACTTAAGTAGAATTGTTGTAGATATAATTCTTTAGTTTTAGCTTATTAATAAAAAAAACTCATACTTTTTTTTTTCAATTCAGTCTCTTTTTGTCTGCATAAACCTTCTCTCAAGTGATGGCAATTGTACGGGAAGTGTAAAAGTAAATTGAGCCAGGGCAAAACCACGACAGTGGCTTCGCAAGCTCTTCTGCCAGCTCCCTCATCAAATTAGGATGGATCACCTCTGGTCCCATGGGTCCTATTTCATGCTCACAGCGGCCAGGGCTGCCCTGGAGCATCACAGTCCCTAACAGCTCCTCCTGCAGGACCAGTTCTGCCTAGAGAGGGCTTCATCCACACCATCCCCCAGCTCCGCTGGCCTGCAGCACACACCCAATGCTCCCAAATCCTCACCCTGCCTTCCCTTCAATCCTCATCCACAAGCTCTCTGACGGCTCCTCGTCCTTCCCCAAGCACATTTCCATGCTCTCCACATGGTCACACAAATGGACACCTACACACCTCCTCTCCAAAAGGGTACAACCATCCATTCCAATGCTCCACACACGCGAGCCAGACCACCACAGCTCTCTGATTGATGCCAATGGTATCCTACACATGCAGACATGAGCACGTCTCCAGCTCCTCTCGGGTGTTCCCCACACCACCTGAGATTGCCTAAAGCCATCCAAGCCTGTAGGAAAGTCTTCTCTGCTCCAGGCTCAACGGGACCACCTCCCTCCCTCAGCTTTCCACACAAGGCAACTGATCTCATCCCCTCACCATCTTCTCAGCCCTATGCCGCATCTGCTCCAGCAGCTCCACACCTCTTCTCGAATGAGGAGCCCAAACTGCACACACTACTCCAGGTGAGCCCTCTGGGGACAGCCCTGAGCTGCTCCACCTCAGCCATCTGCACAGGTTAAAATGCAACACCCGTCCTTGGGGTGCTGCTTCTCGCTTGCCACTCCAGCCACCTCAACCACAGAGGCAGACAAAAAACAACCACACTTCCACTCCAAGAACACACTCGAGGCGCCCCAGACACCGATCAAAACCACAGTGAAAAGCAGCAGCAAAGCTCTTCCCTTCTAACACAAGCCTTCCTCCTGCCTCCTTTCCCCTTCACACACATTTCAAACATGGCACCTGGGGACACCTCCATCCCAGAACACATCCAGGGCTCCAGCACCAACACCCACAGAAAACTCTTCCCCTTGCTTCCCACAGGCCCTCACTGCAGCACGGGGAGCTCCAGGCTCCAACCACTGACATCACCGCACATCCCTGCCCAACACGAAAGGAAAACAGTGCCCAACAGGAAAACAAACCAGAACCACAAAGGGAAAGGAAAACCAACCACAGCCACCACAAGGGCACGGCACAGGCAAAAAACACCGGCTGCAAAACACAGGCCCCGCAGCTGCCCTGCAGCTGACACGGAACCCCAAGCACCCCTCCCCAACACAGCTCACCCCAAAGGCTCTGCCCCAGCACTTTCGCATCCCCCGCTCACCCACCACACACAACCTCCCCCACCACACCACCAACCACTGCCCTCCACAACCACCCCCACCACAACAAACCACTTCCCCCACACCAACACACCCGACAGCCCCAACTGGAAACCACGGACGGAAACTCGCTGCAATCAGAAAGCGATGAAGGGAAACACAACGCCACGCATAAAGCCGCACACCCGGCGACACACCAAGCACACCAACCACCACCACCACCACCACCAAGCCTCACCAGCCTCCTGCCAACAGCACCCACACGCACTCCATGGCTGCGCTCACAACCCCACGGCCCCGCCTGGGCCACGGCGCCCCGACACTTCTGCTCCTGCTCACGCCTCTCACCGCCGCCCTCACCCGCCAACACCTCTGGACCCACCACGACACCTTCCCCTGGCAACAACTCCAGCTCCTCCACGACATGGCTCCCAACTCCACACACACCTGTCAACTCCACAACCAGCCCTTCTTCCCAGACACCCTCCGCCACACCAACCTCAACCCGCAGCAAGCCGCCGCCGCCGCCCTCCGCATCCTCCACCACCTCTTCCACACCCTCAGCACCAACAGCACCTCCCAGCACTGGCACACCCAGCCACGCCAACGCCTCCTCAACCAGCTCCACCACTACATCCACCGCCTCCAGCGCTGCCGCCCCGACAGCGCACGCCTCTTCAAAGGACCCCGCAACCCCCTCACCACCATCAACAAGTACTTCAGCGACATCCACCTCTTCCTCCACGCCCACAACCACAGCGCCTGCGCCTGGGAGCACGTCCGCCTCGAAGCTCTCACCTGCTTCCAACACCTCGACGTGCTCCTACGCCGAATGAAGCATCAAGGTGCTGGGGACCTCACTAAACCCACCGACAGCCAACACCCATCCCCAGACAGCGCCAGTGCCCACAGATGGAGAGATGGCAGCAGCAGCAGCCCAGGATGGGATCGCTCGGCTCCACTCACGCCACCTCCAGCCACAACGCTGAGCTGACAGGCAAATGGCTATGACCGTGGTGACACTGGGGCCAGGCTGTGGCACAGCCCACACACCCAAACCATGGCCACTGCAAAGGAAGGGGGAGGAACTTTCTGTGCTGCACACTAATCGACAGCTGGGAGGCACTGGGCATAGGCACGCTACTGACTATCCATGGAATTTCAAGTCCATCCAGACTGCAACCTCAACCGATGAGGGGGTACGGGACCATGGACACTTTGGGGGATATCCATGCCAATCACTATTTATCACAGAACTGGGCTTTATTTATTTAATTGATTTAATTACTATTTATTTATTTGGCTAGCCATTAACTTATTTATTCACTCCTTGGTTGGAAATAAAGACTTTTTGTAAAAACACAAGGAAAAAGCCAACCTGTGGTCGTCATGTTCATACCCGACAGCAAAAGACATGGTCTTTTAGGCAGGCAAGGACGAGTCTCCCTCCTGCATCCTGCCTCACTGATCCCAATGCCTCCTGCCCAGGTCAAAGGCTACGGATCGCAGGCCACTTGCAGGGACCCACTGCGCTCCTGAAAGCCCACAATGCATCTCCTACTAATGCCACACCCTTGGAGCACCCTGTGATGCCAAGCATGGGCACCTCACTGTTTCTGTCTTCTCTGAGGTGGCTGAAAGAACTAAAACCTCCTCAGACATCAAAACAGCAGGAGAGGTAATGACAGAAGCTGGAATACAGGCAATTCAAACATGAAGGAATAAATGCATTAGTGTTAGTTTTTAACGTGAAGGTGACACAACACCAGAAAGGGGATCGGGGAGGTTGACTGATGTCCGTTCCTGCAGATACATCTAAGAGCGTACATCTGTGGACAAGGCCATCAGAAGCCTCCTCTCATACCACCTCCTCTCGGCATCACAGTGCAATTGGGATATCCAGAGAAATCAGACCATTAAAAAACAATTCAAAAAATGGAAAGGAAATTAGGAATCAT